ACGCTGATTCCTGTTCCTATAAAACCTTTCACACGTATCCCGCACGCCGACGGTAAAAAATATTCAAAACGTGTTACAAAATCAACTACAAAAGTTGCGCGCATATTGATGTAATGCAATTGCATGGTAAGTATAAGTATCGGACGACACTTTACGGAGTAAGACAAGAGACGCGGTGCAACGTGACGAAAAACACGAATTCAACGCATCCGCCCGGGCGCGGACGGGAGAGCGGAGCAACAAGTTGAAGCAACCTAATGGCGGCCGCATCACGTGATTCCAAGATGGCCGCGCCCATGCGGCGGAGGGTGAAAAGGTCTATACACCTTTCCAAAAACCGCTCCTAGGCCGCCGCCATGTTGCTGATGCTGATGCGGTTGGTGCGACTCTCGCGCCCTCTATCAGCTAGAATTTTTCTGCCACTCTCTGGGACTGTGAAGACCCGCTCAGCGCGGTTCTCTACCTACGTTTTTGCGGTTTTGCATTCGACGTTTTCTCGCCCCTCTTGAAAGTTTCCACTTAATTTTTTTTATGCGTGCTACGTACCCTTTCTGTGTTATCTTCCATTATGAGAAATGAGGCTGGTAAGTGCCTGCCATTCAAGCTTTTCTGCTCGACATTCACGGGAAACGAGAGACGTCAAGGACGTCGAACGACCCTCGACGCGATTTTACGAACATTGTTCTCCCCCCTCCCAGAGATAATCCGCGTAAAATCCTCAGCCATCTCCAAAAACAGTTGTCCGGGTTAGGGTGAGAAACGGGTCAGTCACGTTTGTTTCTTTGCCTTGGTGCGGTAGTGAAAAAAGGAAGCTCTCCCCAAGACGTGCCCCAAAACGAAGTCATCCCGGATTCCGTCCGATCGTCAAGATGTGACCGTCGACTGTGACTGTGTTATTTGAGTTCTTTCTCAAATAAATTCGTTTCGGATAACGCTGCATCGTGTGGTACCATAGCCTATGGTGGTACGTACGAATGTTAACACTTCCTCCTGTCCATCGCTAAACACGTTATTTGTGAGCGTGAAAAATGCATCCCTTTCGGCCCTCTTTTGTTGCAATTTATTTTTGACAGCAAAGCCCTTTGTCGTTTCACATGCGGCGAATCCCGCGGTGCCGTCAAAACTTATCACAAAAAAAAAAATAACTAGAACTATTCATTCCAGTCGCATTCGTTCTGTCGCGCGTGTACCCAACAAAAATAGTTTAGATTTTTTTTTTACTTTTTTTGTTTTTTTTTAAATGTGGCACAATGCTTTCTCAATGTCCTCGGGAACATACATGTACCATGAAACACAAAATATAGCGGGAAAAGACGAGAATTTAACCGCCAGCAGCGTTTGAAACTGCAGCTACGCAGGCTGCGCCTATTGAAATCACAGTCCACTCGGTTAGGGTTAGGAGGGACGCCGGTGAGAGTCTAGCCTCAAACTCAGTGACTGGGCTCACAAACGGTTTGTTGCCCCTGGGGTCGAGGGTTTTTTGGAAAGGTGTATAATCTCCTTGGATTTCCTGCACTTTCGTCGTCTGCTTTTCGTCAGGTTCTTTCATTTCGGCTCCCATCTTTCGTATATATCAACGTCGAAACCGCACTCGCTGCCTGCATAGCAGGAGTTGATGATGACTTGGTGATCAGCGTGATTGTGATCATCCTAGCCTGCTCGGTGGTCTGCCACGTCGCCGCGCTCTGAAGGGAAAGAGGCGCAGGTTCTGGGTCCGGCCGAGTTGGCGCTACCGAAACACCGAGGGACATGTCAGTGCTTTGCTGCCCCGGCTGCGCGCCAGAGATGAAGACTACTTTCGAAAGTGCCACCAAACGAACACGACATCCGTCACAACGAAGGCGACATGCAACAAGCGCCAAGGAGAAACACCTGAGGCCAGATTCACGAAGAGCTTCTTAGTTTGCGACAACTTAGCTAAGAAGTTCGTAAGTTGGGAACATCGTAAGAAGAGGAGAAATTGGTATTCGTGAACGCGTTCTTTAGTGAGAGGAGGAAAGCGACGTTCTCGTAAGGAAAAACTAGAACTAACCGGTGCTGTTGTTATGGTGACGGCGTCTTCGGCAGCACGAGCAACCAGTCGGAGAGCTCGGCATGGTTCGGAGCCGTTCGGAGCATGTGCGGCCTTTCTGCCACCGCTTGTCTGGAGTTCGTGTCCGTGCAGTTATACAGTCGAACCCGGTTATATCACACCCGGGTATTTCGAATTATTGCTTATATCGAACTGTCCAAACATCCCCTTGAAAATCACATGTAAAAGTATAGGAGCGTTGTCTTTTTGTATCGAACTCCCATGGACTCCCATGGTGGGGACACTCGATATAGCGAACGATGCACGGCGGCCCTTCGCTTCACCCGCGGTCAGATTGCTCCCGCGGAGCAACATAGCTCGTGTTGCCGTGCTGGCAGACCGCCAAGCCAGCATACGCGCATAAGGGACCTTGTACGCGCGCACGAGGATACTCAACAAAAAAAGCAGTTAAAAAAAAAAAAAGTAAAGGATGGCAAAAGCAAATGGAAGGGCACCCGCGCGAACGCGCACCCGCGCGAACGCGCGCGTAGAGAGGGCAGAGAGTGCTCCCTTAGCCCCAAAATAAAATAAGCAAAAAAAAAAAAGTCTTCGTCAAGTCGAGTGTGTTGACAACGGTTGAGCAATCGCACTTTGAACCCTTATCTTTGTTTACCTTTTTCTTTTGCAATTCTTGCTTTGCGCGCGTTTTTTTTTCTTTTTCTTGCTGCCTGCATTTAGTGAGGTTTCTTTTGTGTCGCTTGCTTAACTTTATTCTATGAATCGAGCGTGTTTTGTTTGTTTTTATGCGGCTCGCTTTTTCCGTTCTTTTATTTTATTTTTAATTCGTGCTTTGTCGTCGGTGCTGTGCGGAGGTCGCGCGCGCGATCGCAAACACCGTCGCGTAAACGCGGCGGTGTTTGTGATCTTCACCAGCTGAGCTCTACTGTATTTAGCGGCTCTTAGTGGCTCTATTTGGTAAGGTGCCGTTTATCGCGGCCGTCGGTACTAGCAGAGACGCGCGGAAATTTCAAGTGGAGCTTAAGTTAACATATTTTTGTATATCAAATTATCGATATATCGAACTATTTTGCGATCCCCTTTGAATTCGATATATCCGGGTTCGACTTATGTCGACGCTAACACGATTTAAACACGCCCAAATGCCGAGGCCCGGATGCCTAACCACCTCCGTTGACTGCTACGAACTCGATCGCTACGAAGTCAACACAACTGTCATCGTTGGTAGAAGACGGCCCGTGTCAGTCGTTTGCAAAGCGACGTAGATGGAAACGAATTGCCGCGGCGTTTTTCGCGGCCTTGTAGATGCAGGAGCGAGTCGACGTTAAGAAAGATAGGTTTGAACTACGAGAGCCACGTAATACCTGTTCACACTCGGAGCGGAGGCGCGCGCGTTTGATCGAAGTGCTGGATTCGCGCTGTTGGACCGCGAATTGGTGAGCGCTTCGGGACCGATCCTTTACGATTGCAACTCGATGCTGGCGTGACACCCGGCAAAGAAAGGTTAGACCGGCATTGCGACCCACGAAATGTTACAGCGATCGACAGTGAGGTGCGGTCGTGTCAGAATACAAATGTAACAGGATACCTTACTGGGCTGGTTACAGAATACAAATGGCATACTAATAACAAAGTCTACATACCGTGTTGTGAAGATAATCCATACGGCGTTTATTTGAGCTTTTTATCACACAAAACGAAGCGTTCGTCACCGGTCCATCGGAAAACAAGGAGATGACAAAAGGAAGAGATTGACCTCTTAATCTAAAATTGAGGGCAGCGATTAAACTATAATACGGGAAGGGTTCACAAGGGTCGTGGGGGCATATTCCAGTCAGCACGCAAGCCGGTCGGGGGCAGACGGTCTTGGCCAAGGACCGTCGGAGCACCGCTGCGCCGCGTCGGAGTGCCTGCTAGGCCTATCTGCCGAGCTCACTTGGTGAATCGTGGCCGTTGGAGCTTTTCCCGGGTGTTTGTGGATCCAGCGTTCTTGTTCGTCGTGATCTGTTTCAAGTACTTTTTACTTTTTTTCTTGCTGCTTGAAGTCGGGACGCGTGAGAAGCGCACGTAGAAAAAGAAACGTCCGCTGGTCGTCGCGGCTAAGTAACTGAGCGACGCTGTCGGCCATGCTGCGTAAGACAGCTTCGGAGCTATCGTAGGATTCCGTCGTAACCTGCGCAAAACTTACAAAAATTTCGTTTCGTGAATACGAATTTGTTCTTAAGTTTTGTCTTGCGCACTATTTTGGCGTAAGATCGTTTCGTTGAATCTGGCCTCTGTTCTTCCAAATTCGACTCCGATAATTTCTCAGCGGTGTTTCTTAGCGTCCTTATCTAGGTAGTCTGGCTGCGTCTTGTCATATAAAGAGGGAAAGAGTCGCACAGTTTCAAAGAACCGCTCCGTTAGGGAAGACATCGTGGGAAATAGGGATCGCAGACGAAACGAAACAACGCTACGCTCCTTTTGCGCGTTGCCATCCCATCGCAACGTCACTATCTACGCCACCTCCCATTGGCTCCTTCTCCGGCGAGAAACGGCGAGCCCTCAACCGCGCACGGGCCGGTTGCCACGACGGCGCCGATCGGCGAGCTTAGTTTTTGCTCCCACGGTTAATGGGGTGGTTTGTTAACTTCGGGTAAAGGGTGCAAAGTAAACTTAATAGAACTTCCGCGATAACAAAAGGAATCAGATTCGGACCTTATAAACCAACCAACATAAATAGCAGTGTAGTCAAGCTGCAGCTAAAGCAGTAATTAAATTGAACTAACATAAACGCACGATCAGTATCCATACTAAGGTAATTAACAAAAAATGGAAAACGAACATTTCCAAAAAAAAACATGGGTGTTTATTGAAAGACAGATGCACACTAAGTAAAAAGAAATGGAAAACTGCAGGTCAGGAAATAAAACTGCACAAAATAATCAATCTTCAAAGTGGCTTGGATTCACGCCCTAATATTGACGATGGCTTAGTCACGTTGTTGGTTTTCAATTTGTTCTGCAAAGCAAAAAATATGACGAAACGATCATTCATATTGACTGAAGGCGCATGTCTTCGACTTTATAGACAGTTAAAACGCCACATTTTTTACCGTTGCCTTTTTTCTTCTTTTTTTTTTCTTTTTGTTACTTGATGCCTATGTTATACTTTATAAAAGTGAACGCTTTATACGAACCTTCGAAGATGTTATTTTACTGCGCGCACCAAACACGTATCTTTTTTTCGAGATTTACATCTGTCCTTCGCCCCTCTTGTTCCCCTTCTCTAGGGAATATTTCATTTATTAGGTCCAGCCGGCCTGCACTCTTGCATTAATTGCATTAATGTTATTTGTGCATTTGAAATGTCTTTGTAGGTTTTGCTTCTCCATATTAATAATAATAATAATAATAAACGCAGCATCATATTGCTGAAGAATACTTTTTTATTATTAACATACATGCACAGACAAATTATCAGTATCTCTTTAAGGCCCGTTCACACTCTTGCGACTGCTTGCGACCTCTTAAACCTGGGTTCCTTAAAACTTCTTAAACCAGAGAACACACTGGCGCCATCTATTGGGAAGCAGTGTAAACTCGGCGGTCCGGCATATTTTGTTTTTTATTTCTCGCGCAATATCCTTTCTTTTTTGGCTCGAAAAACTTTTGTCAATGTTATAAACGAGCCTTCTATGGATATTACGCACATTTGACCTCGGAAATCCCGCAAAACCTTCGCTTTTGTGAAATGCAGTTCTAGGGTCACCGCATAGATGGCGCCACAATGTCAGTGTGTTCCCTCATTCTAGAAACATTTAAGAAGTTGTAAGAGATCTCGTCTCACTCAGTCGTACTCGGTCGCAAGAGTGTGAACGGGCCTTTAGAGTGTTGTTTTGATACGAGCTAAATTCTCTTTAGATGTTCGTTGAACTAAAGGGTATTTTGGCGGCACGTACTTACCTACACTACGAAGGAGGATGCGAAAGTGTTTGAGCTTTTCTTCTGTTAAAAATAAAAGAATGTCAGAAGTAGTATTAAAATCGTGAACGTGTAACTATTTGATATTTTTATAAAGTCGCAATTTATTAGGGCTTTGTAATTATCGTGATAGGGTTTATTCTCGGTGTGCCAATTTGTTTATATAAAAAGATGGAACGAGTCTCAAATTCTCCTGAAGCCAGCACTCGATACACACAACAGACGCGGAATATGCAATGACAGATATATGAAAATTATACATGGCTTGCACGTGAAGTCAGTCGCCCCTTTTCCTGGTGGCGAGAGCGTCTCGTGAAGGCAGCGGAAGCTACCCTTTCACGCACCCTTTCCCCTCATTATGTCTGACCGAGTGACTTCAATGAAAGCTATGCATAACGAAGTAAACGTCTGTTTAATTTCACCGGTAATTGACTAATTTAAACTTTACCGAACTTCTTAGTAGATTAGGAGCAAATAGAAGGTTTAGCTAGTATGACGTCGCGTTCAGAGTAACTCTAGAATCTTCACGCATGAAACTAGACAGCGCCTGTTGTGCCCGTGCTTCAGTCAGACATATAAATTACGTTTTTTCGCCGAGAAACCACACCTTACATGTTTAATAGACGTTTAACATGAATAACTTACCCACGGTGTCTCTAACCATTTTCTGCCATACCGCGTCTGAAAAAAAAAATAATAAATTATGATAGAACAGTTTTGTTGATTTTAGTGCAAGAGTAAAGCGGTATTTTATTCAAATCCGGCACTGACTAAAGATAACTATGTGACTCGAATGACTATGTAGGCTACAAACCATGGAAGAATGAGTGTAACACAATCTCGAATACGAGTAGTAGAGTATTTTCTCAGCAGACCATATTGCCGCGCGCGCAGCTGGCCAAGTGGGCAGCGCGCGCGTGGCCTAAAGGTTATCGCGCGTGCTTTCCACGCTGAAAGCCAGGGTTCGATTCCTGGCCGCGGAGGCGCATTTTTGTTGACTCTGTAAAGTAATGTTCTGGTAAATTCGAGAACCATGTTGCTTGTTCGAGGTCAGAATGTTCTACGCGCCGAACCTTCAACGCCGAACGATCCAGAAACCCACGAGGGTACATAAGGGATTCCGCAAGGCGAACGGAGTCAGTTTTCGCACCAGCGTTCGACTCTGCTGCTACGCCGACTTCGACGCCCGCGACGCTCTATTATTATCTTTTGTACTCGTTTATTTTTGGCACAAGTTCGCCACATTTAACGTTTATTTCTTTCTGTTTATTTCCTGTTTTTTTTTTTGGTCACCACCCGTGACAATATTTCGTCCGTATCAATTATAAGGGAAGTGATAACGTTTCTGACTTTTCTTAAAACGGCACATATCGTGAGCCTGACGTTTATGTTCTGTGTCTTAACTTTAATTTTCAATTCGGTGATGTCATTCCAAAGGTACCGTTCGTTACGTATGGCTGTAACGAAAGTACAGAAAGCTAGCGGAATGTCTAACATATATCGCAGCGCTTCAAATCCTTCCTATTAAAAACAAAAACGTTGTTACAACTGTAATGAAGATAATATTTTAAGCTCTACAATTTCCTGATAAGAAAAAAGACGCACTCGTGCGCGTGGGCACAAACTCTCCGAAGGCTTAATGATTTCGTTGTGAGTTTAATAGCCTAAATTAGTTGTGTTTCGCTGTAAATTCAACGTATCGATCATGTACTGGAATTAGATTTATACAGATCATTATTAACTTAGAAATATATCGCGGCGTGTTAACAAGGCATAACAGTATCGTCATCGCAGCAAGAAACCGGACTCCCGGACATTTCAGCGTCAGCAGGGAATCTCAGCCTAATGTATAATTTCAAAAGCTCGAAATTTAAGAGAAACTAAAAAAAGAGAGACGGGGAATTCCCCCCCCCCCCCCCCCCCCCCCCAGTTTTTACGCACCGGAGGATTTCAGGACCTTCCTCAGATCCGCGTACTGCTCTTCAGTTGACACGAGGTTATCTGCAAGCAGACGACAATTATTAAGTTGTAAAAGTAAAACTATTTTTACCGTTGCATGACAGATGTCTGAGCAGCACTGCCCTGATGATGTAGCATTACCTAAGTGTTTGAAAACCTTGTAAAAGTCTGATAGTGTCTATCTCGCAGACAGTATATTCTAAGAGCGTAGCTCTATGGCCACCGGCAGTTTAAGAAGGGCTGGGCGTGGCCTATGATAAGCACGCACCTTGATTCGTTCTTCGGCGCTTTAATCAGCCGATGCCGCAATGCTTTTTGCCACGGAGAAATAATGAGATGCAAGGGAAGCTTTAGGCCTTTATATTATTAAGTGTAATGAGCTACAAAACGCAAAAGCAAGTGTTAAAGGCGTTTCACGTTTGCTAATGGTATTTTTATTATTATATGTCTAGTTTCAAAAAGAGTATTTTTAAACAAAACTCAACAGCTAGCGTACCACACTCTCTTTTTTTTCTGAAAATGAGCACCGTCATTTATTTAGTTGTCGAAGCGTATTTTATTGACGACGGACATTTTCTTACATTTCAGAATATTTCCGGCTTGTTTTGTACCTCCTGGTGTGCAACTTTGTATGAAGAATAACGCATGGTGTCCCCCTTTTTGTGCGCACGGACTACTTTGTATAAATCCCATTCCATAGACCATAAGCTCTAGACTATGGTTGATTATGGCAAAGGCCATTGAATGTCTTGGATAGCCACAGCACCCCAAGGGGTGCATAGAAGAGGCCTCACGTAAAGAGAGCGTGTATTCCATTGCCAAGTTGCCGAGAAAACATGGAAGTCCTGTGGCCATGACGTGACAATTGAACAGCTTGCTGCGAATCATGCCAGCATCATCTAGAATACTGAATAGTTTGAGCCTCCTTTATATTCCTTCAGTGCTTACAACATTTTATATGTATAACTTGATTTTGAACTGCCGGTATCGAGAGTATGCTGATGATATTGGTGATGTTGCAAAATACAATTAACCAATATTAGACTCGGAGCTTAGCTATCAGATTATATCAGTAGTAAATTAGATTAAACAAATAAAATATACAGAATGGAAAACACCGTGTAATTAATTTTTAACGATACAACGGGAAATTAACGAACATATTTTAGCCAGAAAAAAAAACTACTATCAGATGAACATTGCCGAAGTACGGGGCTCTCTTGGAAAATGATTGCAAAGCTTTTACATTACCTGGTAAAAGTAATAAATAATTGTAATAAACCATTGTGTGGTTGTAATTCTTATTGTAAAAAAAACACTTCCGAAGCAAAAATGGTGATAGAAGAACTGCATTAAATTACTGTTTAAAAGAAATTCACCGAAGTATGATACCTATTCAATCATTGTTCCTCTCGTGAAAATGGTTATCACGGTTTGGCCAATGAAAGGTAATTTGAGTTTAAATTTCTCGACTTACCCAACTGATGGACGCCGTCTGTCGGAACACGAAGGATCAATATCATTCATACGCAAAAGATGTAGGTGATATAAACAAAGTTAAAAGAAGTTACACTTGGTGAGTTGAGCGCGATGATGGAAAATGACACAGTAACGAAAGAAATACATTTTAAGGAACGACACAGACGACACTCTTTTCTTTATTTGCAACAAATCGTTTGCTGACTCGAAGCTAGTCGGTTGCAGCCCGACGGAAGTCCTTCAGATGGAATCGGGCTTCGGAGAGAAGGCGGAGTGCTGCTGCCTGCCGCCCCTTTTTGATACTGTTTAATAGAGCACTTCATGTGCGTTTTATGGGCTTACTGTTATTGTCAGGTTAGTCTTTGATGTTCTAAAATATAAATACTCCTCGGAACGGAAAGTATACTGTGCAGATAAGGCTTTTTCTTTCACCATTCACATTCACTATTCACCAACAAGCCTGCTCCATTGTATTTATTTCAGGAAACATGATGACATCGCTGAAAACAATCACCTTGAAAATGGCAAAAAGGAAGGAGTACCGACCCTCGCTACAATGTTAAAAAAGAAACCTTTCGTGTGACGGACCTGAATGCTCAGTCTGATGTCGTTGTGTATGGTTTATAAACGACGACTGAAAAAACCTGCTTTAAAAATAACTCATTTTAATACATCGTTTAGGAATAAGGACTCCAACAGAAATCAGCGAAAACTAGAACACGCGCGACGAACTGCTCGGTTTTGATCCGTTGGTTGCAATATGCTCAGCACCATTTGTTACAAGCAAAGAGGAATTTTCAGAATAGCCGGATCTCAGTCTTGAATTAATCGAAGCACGTTACGTGTTTGCCCCCTTCTTCGCCCGTCGTCTCTTTTTTTTTTTTTTTTCAAATATGTCGGATTAATCGCTTGATTTCCTACAGACCGCTTGTTTGTTTGTTTTTGTTTTTTTTTGTTTTTTTTTAATTACAACGTTTTCAAAAGATTGTAAAGTTTCTGATTCCACTCACAATAATTCTCTCGACTGCGAAATATCTGGTTGCCGATTTGATATGTAGACAGAGAAAATAGTCGAGATCAATTCATCCGGTGACACCTAAGATGCGTCTGATATTTTCAGGTGGATGATTTGGAATTTGTAAATATGTTAACTGATAATTACATGGTGATATATTTCTAATCATACGAAGAGTTACTGAGTATAGGAGAAGCAGAACATAAAAATTTCAAAGAAAATTCGTGAGACGAAGATTCTTGCGGTAGGCGCGGTATAAAATAAAACGTGACTTTATTTCTTCAACTTTTTGGAAAATTTTTTAGACATAGTGCCATGTGATTTACATGTAGTTGAATTTTAAGCTCGGGTTTATGAGTTATCATGTCCATGCAATTGAGTATAAAGTTACAGAGCGCTTTTACTTGCCTATATACTTGAGTATTGCTTCGAAGTGCGTCAGCTTGCTGGCTGTTGTGATTACGAAGATCAAATGGTGAATTTTCAACAGCGTAAGAATCATTTAAAACTATTAGTACTAACATTTATGTTCAAGACATATAGTTTTTTTGCATATATGCGAAATCCTTTTTTTTTTTTTAAGTACAGAGCTGCTACAACGCTCTGAAAACAAATATTTAAAATAAATATCTATAAATATATTAAAGATAGTCTCTGCAATTTCTGGCAAACTATCATGGATTTTGTGACTGGGTAAACAAAAAAATACACATAAAAGATTAGTTTCAAAGTTACAAAACCTATTATAATTGACAAAAGCTCTCAATCAAAACACACTATTCTAAATTTCAGCTTTCATATTTGAATTTAGGTTGACTTCTAATCATCACGCGCAATTAAAGCAGTTTTAGAAAACCGGGCCCAGTTACCACAATTCTCCAGCTCCGCTACTGGAACCAGATAATTCAATCAGGCGGTAAAAGAGGAGAACAATGTTTTCGCTATGATGTACTATCGGGGAAAAATGAAATGCGAACAGAGCAGCGCGTGGCTCGCGGTACAGGCTGCGCCGCCTGGAAGTGAGGGTGCGTGGCCTGCTTCGATGTGTTCACGCCCCTCGATTGGCGCTTCCCCAGCTTCGGCAGTGCGCCTCTCAGTGCGCTGAAAGCTGTCACCGCTAGCTTTGCCTGCTCGGCGAGTGCGGCGAGCTTCTTTGCACCGCACGCGCTGAGCCAGCAAAGATAGCGGTGATAGCTTTCAGCGCACTAAGAGGCGCACTGCTGAAGCTTGGGGAGAGCAGAGGGAGGGGCGTGAACACGTCGGAGTAGGCCACGCACCCTCGCTCCTAGGCTCACTTCCAGGCGGCGCAGCCTGTACCGCGAGCCACGCGCTCCTCTGTTCGCATTTCATTTTTCCCCGATAGTACAATTTGCCCTATCAAACATATTGACACGCAAAATTTTTAAATAAATTGTAGCAATAAAGTTGTGCGGAAGTGTTCACGCACAACGTTCCTACAACCGTTCTTGTAAAACGTTTTTCTCACCGACGCTTTCACCGATTTCCTTCAGTAGGTCAGAGCCTGTATCGTTCAACAAAAACAGCAGAATAAGTACCATTGTAGAAATCGCGAATGTGTTCAGCCTCGATGAACAGCAATCTCCGATCCAGTTCTAATAGTTTCTACATATTGATATACCTGCAACTTGAGCTAGTTTGCTGAGTTCCCTCAGCTGCAGGTCAGACTTGTCAGCAAAGTCTGAAAATGAGCGAATATATAAATTTCACATTCCAGTCATCAAATTCTAATGCAGTTATTTATAAAGAAGGGGGGAATAGACTCGGGGGGAAATGTTTAAGCATTTTATGCCTGATTGCCTGGGTACGTTAGTCAGGCCAAAAAATATTATATTTGTTCTGGCCCCTAAGTACTATAGTCAACATCCCAAGTTGCCTGATTGAATCTATTACATTCAACGATTTAGATTATTTATAGTATATAGAACCCTTCAGGCTTAATATGTATATCTATTCGTAAAAAAACGTGTCTTTCGAACCTTAGAATATTTCCCATATTGATTCTACAGGCATGTTAAACAGAAATAATAATCCATCCAAACGTGAAAAAAGATCGGGCGATATCACTGATAACTTAAATGGTAAATGCAAAGCCTATTCGCAGGAACGTTGAGACCATCTGAAAAATAGTTACGGAGGTAAGAGCTGTTCGGTCAAGGTTTTCAGTATTAGTTCTCGAAGGCTTAGCAGCCATCTATATAAAAGCATTCAGGCATCCTTGTTCAATACAACATTCTAGATTGCGCAATAAGGCATCTCTACACGACACTATGTCGTAATCCTCATCAACGCATTGTTCGCAGGGGCCTAGACCATTCTACTGAACCTAGTACTACAGGTTTAGGGATACAAATCGGGGTAACTAAAACAGAAGTCTCTAAATCTGCCTGATTGATTTGTATGGTACTTCGACAAGTACAAGTCACCGGAATTCTGACCAGTGAAAAGCCCGCGGTTGACTATCACAGACTTTTTAGTGTTGTGTTGTTTACCCGCAGTCTCTGGGTTTTTTCAACCATGCGCAATGTACACCAGCTCGTTTGCGCCCTTGCATTTCATCACAGACTGCTGTTTTATGAGGCTTTTAACACAAAGATAAAAAGGCCCACGAAAACATCTCTGATGTAACGTAAATATACCGTTCAACACTTTTTGCTTCTCGGCATCACCTGCTTCCACCCAACCTGTAACAAAGAAACATTCGAACAACATAAAAAATATTGCCGTGTACATTGCCGTTTATTCTCAGTACAGTGTTTGTCCTCTGGTGTTTTCAAGGCATGCGTCTTGTGCATTGTGCGTAATGCTTCGCTCTACAATGCAAAACCTACAAGCTGTGAAAGGATCATTTTGAGAAATGCATGACACTACGGCCACTGCCCTTGCCCAATGCATTTACGCCAGCCATTTCTAATATTAACCGTGCCTTGACTACTGAACACGCAAGAGAACAAACCGACTGGCGATGAAAGATATAAACTGCAGAATATTGGCAAGCTTTTGTGGCTGCATTTTGTGGCGAGATCACTTTAAAGGAATGCTGAACCGAAATCTGCATTCCCTAAAACACGCGGCAAAAGCGTGCAACGGGATGCTACAAACACCAAAACATCACTCATACAGCGATATCTCGAACGGATGACCGTATTTTTCAAAAAAAGAGGCGCATTTGGCAGGAATGTTGACGTCATGTTTCTCCGAGAAGGAGAGGGAACGGCCTCGCGTCTTTTCCGCCTCGCGGCCTTGAGGGGGCGAAGCGAAACGAGGAGGAAACTAGGTAGCTTGACGTCACGCGCCTCGTCAGCCTGGTTCAATCTCTACTTTTTTTTCCAAAATACGGCCGTCCATTTGAGATGTCGCCTTACTAGTAGTGTCGTAGGGATTGTAGCGTCCCGCCTACATCTCCAGCATTGTTTTTCTGAAATCCAAATTTGAGTTCACCATCCAACTCCCGCAAAACTATCAGCCAAAAGTTTTAATTTGTAATACAATTCAGGCACGTAGCCAGGGGGGGGGGGGGGGGGGGGTCCAAAGGCCCCGCCCTCCCCCCCTTCAAACCTTCCATTTTGCTGGGGCCTCCTCTCCCCTTCCCCCTCAAACAGCATTTTGTCATGGACGCCCCCCCCCCCCCCCCCAAAAAAAAAAAAAAAATTCTGGCTACATGTTTGATACAATTACATTATTATTTAATTTGTAATGGAATAACTGTATAGAAACAAAAACGACGCTAAAGTAGTAAAACAGGGAAGGTTATGATAATGTTCTATATTACGTAGCCGTTCATTCCTATATCGTACATAATGGCAATTATATTCGTGAATTCGAGAAGGCTTGGGATAAACGCCGACCTTAAATAATTAATACTATTTTTTTACGGACTGCAGCTCGCGTCCTCTAGTCGACTTCTGGCCGCTGGAAGAACCTCTCCAAGACTAGCGGAACCCTCTACCAACTGACGTTAGCCGTAAGGCGAGCGGACGAAAGTTAGCAGTAGCCACCAGTTCCGATCATGACTACCTTGCGGACTTCCACTAAAATCATTATATCTAGTTATGTTCTGTTATAAAATAAACTACCCAGCTCTCGAAATACCCAAATTTTAACAATTCGAGTACCTTAAAAAGACCCTAAAAAAAGTTTTCTTTATTTTTTTTTTTTTTACAGTTTGAAAAAACACATCAGTGTCAACAAAAAAATTACGCGATAAAAAAAGTTTAGAGCAATATTGACGGCGAGAGATTGATTTGAACTCTTGCACGCGAAGTCCATGACGTCACTGGTCATTCCGGAATGACCATTAAGATCGTGAGGGCGAAGCCGCTCCACTTCTCCTCCACGCGTCCGAAATGCGGAGAGAGAAAACAAGTGGAAAGGAGGGGACTGCCGACTAAATCGCGTCTCGCGCCGCCAATATTGCTGTAATCTTTGTTTTTCGCGTAAAATTTATTTTTAGCCAAACTGTTTTAACCAAACCGTTTAAAAAAAGCTTTTTTTTTCATTTCAGGGGCTTTTCAGTAGAAACTTGACAGCGACCTTTATCCCCCCTCAAAGCCCTATAATTAAATAAATTCAGCATATAAGGCGCAATCATTTAAATGTGTTTATAACATATTGCCGCGAGCGCAGCTGACCAAGAAGGCAACGCGCTCGTGGTCTAACGGTTATCGCGCGTGCTTTCCACGCTGAAAGCCAGGGTTCGATTCCTGGCCGAGGAGGCGCATTTTTGTTGACTCTGTAAAGTAATGTTCTGGTGAACTCGAGAACCGCCTTGGGCTGATTCGAGGTTAGAATGTTCTACGTGTCGAACCTTCTACGCCGAATGCTCGAGAAGCCCACGCGTGTACAAAAGCGGCTCCGCGTGGCAAGCCGGAGTAAGTCTCGCCCCAGCGGTCGACTCTGGTGTTACGCCGACTTCGACGCCCGCGACGCTCTGTTTTTTGTTTGTTTTCTTTTTTTTTTTTTTTTGTACCCTTTTATTTTTGGTACAAGTTCGCCACCATTAAACGTTTATTTCTTCCTGTTTATTTATTGTTTTTTGGTCACCACCCGTGACAATATTGAACCGCCGTTTCGGTAAGTGAGGAAGAACCTATATATTTCGAGGTGGAGAACTAAAATCAAAACGAAATAAATCATGATTTAGATCATGATTTAAATAATGATGTAAATCACTCCAGCTTTACTATGACAATTTTTCAGACCCTCTCACCGAAATAATTCCCATGTACTTTTTTTATGTTTTCTATCAATCGATGATTTGTGTGTGCACTTGTTTTGTATTTAAATAAAAAAAATATCATCAGACAAAAACAAAACAAAAAAATTATATCAGATTGAACACAAGCAACTTTTCTGGACAAATCAGGACATTTTTTTTTTTAATCTACTTTCCTGTTTGTTTGTCAGTTGCATATTGTCCTACTGCAAGCAAATCGAAATGCGAAACAAACCAAAACAACGAAATTAACGCCCTAAGGCAAGCAAATAAAAACGCGTGGGAAACAAATTAAATACAGCTTTCCACTAATTCAAATATAAGCTGATTTTGTTCATGTTTTGTAGGTTTGCATTTACAAAAAGTTGTTAGACTGTCCCTAACAAGTTTAAATGTACAGTAATAATTTCTTGCGTATTGTTTTCAGTAATATAACGGATCGAGAAATCAGTCGGCTTTGTTTAAACGTGAATTTGGCGATAAAGAATCACTTTTCCAAGCGACAGCTATTTAAATGAAATTAATTTTATTAAGGTCAAATCGATCTGATTCAAAGCAAATCAAGTAGATTCTCTCGAACTTATCTTCAGAATGATCAGGATTCTATATTCTATCAATTTAGCGGTGAAACTAATTTAGTGCATACGTCACTTGACATCACTTTCACCGCCAAAAGTAGCGGGGAAACTAATTTGTGTATAGGTCACGTGACGTGTTATCACGTGACTTCAAACTACCCGCGAAATTTTGAGGGGCAACCACATTTTTGTATACGTCAAGCGGGGCTTTGCAGAGATACTCCAAAAACTATTCGGGCATGCAAATACTGAGATACATGTGTTCTAAAGCCCAAAATATAGATACTGAAATACATTTGACTTTTATACAACGAGATATCCCTAAGATTCTTCCGCAGAAACAGCGCAAAAGTGTTCCGTAATGCAAATACTGATACGTATAGAAATACATTAGGTTCCCGAACGGTACTACGAGGAGTGGGCGTGGCGAATGTGAATGGTAATTTTGGTTTGCACTCTTCTTTTTGTGTCATTCTATGCACTTACCCTTACCTAGAACTTTTTATTTATAAAAAATGCCGCTGAAAAAAACTTTCAGCCTTTCCACTTTGGTGAAGCAAGACCAGCGAAGCTGTACTATGGTGGGAATGAAGTAAAAGCCGGCTGCAAGTCAGCAAGCCAGAGTGGAAAGGTTTAAAAGGTTACGGCCATCTATGAGCGATGGCGGCCACCACATAACTGACAAACCGGTTCTCTGGTTGCCGCCGTTGCTCATAGATGGCGGTAGCTGCCCATAGTTCTGTATCATGAGGTCATTTGGCGATGGACATGATCCTGGGGAAACTAGTCCTTAACAGCTCCGCTGTAAAAACATGGTAGCTTTGGTGAACCACATAGTTACTGAACGGTAAAGTTTGCGTGCCATGCTTGACGAAAGGCTTCTTCACGAAACGAACCCCGTTTTACCGAGAGGACGCACCTCAAACTGTCGTCTTATACGCTTTTGAGTCACCCCTTAATATGGGGACATTGGACAACAGAGCCGTACGTTTTCTCCACTTAAAGACCGACTTACGAAACCATTTTCCGCAGGGTAGGAAAGTTCTCCCCAGCGACCTTCGCTCCCTCCCCTCTCGCACTCCTTCCTCCTCCTCCCCTGAAAAGGGCGGGTACGGAAGCTAGTCTCCGTGGAAAGGAGAAGGGGTTTCCTCCTTTCTGGGTGGAAAGGAGGAAACCTCTTCTCCCGCGGAAAATGGTTTTGTAGGTCGGCCTTTAACTGCTTTGCAGTGTACGGTCTGCTAAATAGGAAAGAGTGGAGGGCTTTTGTGGGAGGAGCTCATTCTGTCATTCTTGCAAGTAACCTTCCTTAGACCACAGCTTTTTTTTTTTTTTAACGTTGGTGACTGTGATGGATCATGGGGTGGTTTCATGTTATATATTTTGAAGCACCTTACACCAAAGCGGATGTTTTTATCATTTAAATTCATCGTAATAACGGCAACAAGTGTGATGAAATACCTAAGTCTGACAAAGTATTGCGTAACAAGCGACACACTGTAAATGTATTTCACTACTGGGCTACACATTTTTCAAATGCATCCCGATACAGAGATAGAGATACTCGAAAGTATCTAAGATACTATCGCGATACATTTGTATGGTGATATTGCCCAGCCCTGACGTCAAGTAACGTCAGGTCACGTGACATTTATTTTTCTGTTAAATTTAGCGGGGAAACTAAAGTAATTTTTAGGTCCCGAGGTGTAAATTTCTCACCCTAAAATTAGGGGAAAATGCACGGACGAACGGACGAACAAAATAAACGGCGAGGCTACTCACCGAGCAGGCCGGCAATACCGAAAATGACAGCGAGCTTCATGGTTCTCAAGCGAGCTCCTGAAAAGATAAAAAGCAGGTCCTAATGCCGGCGCATATGTGATAATGCACAAATCAATTCCAAGGACGAGCTCAGCAAAGGCAATCACCTTAAGCTGATTATAATGGACGTTGTTGGGTGGGTTGGCGGCGAAAGTGTGAGGCTTTCGGGCATTGAACGCCGATTTTATACTCTCAACAGGACAAGGGGTCTTTGACCTTGGTTTCCTACAACGCTGTGGTTTGGCCTAACAAGTGACATGCGCAAGTTCTGTTTTGCACATATGTTTCTCTTTTTTTATTCTATCGTTGTTGTTTTTTCTAACACGGTAGTAGGGTGGCATGCTTATTTTTATCATACTATTTACTTATCAACATCTATTTATACCAGCTGTACAGCGTAGGGCCTTATAGCAGATTGCGATTGCGAGTGTCATTGAACCGCGGAACTCGGGTTTTTCTGACTGGGGTCCAATTAAGCCTTAAATGAGAAATAACAATTTATAAATATTGTTTGATCAATATATGGCGTGCACAGATGGTGGGTTGTTGCTTGAAGTTTAACGAGCCTCGTTGGTTTTCGTACCCTCTGTTTATTGTCAACGGCAACCCTCGGGCACTGCTTTTGTTCAGCCGCTATATGCCGAGGCGATGCTGGGGCCACTGAATTGTGCGTGGCGCGTGTCCTGCCGTTGTGCTCAGCCGCCTGCACTATTGTGTTGACTAATTTCGTTCCTGGGTTTCCGATTAAGGGGTTGAAAGTTTGTTTTAAAATTAAACGCATTGCAGTCGGTGTTCTTTAATTAGGGAGAAAAGCGAACACTTTAGAACCCCACGTTTATCTTCACTAATCGAAAGGTTGATTATTTAATTTTGGTTAATTATGTAGCAGATTAGTGTGTGTGTGCGTGTGGGGGGGGGGGGGGGGGGGGGTGTTACCCTGACGTACGCCGTGGCTGGTATTTTGTTCCCAGAAATAGTTTATTTATTTTTTCTCAACCACCTTAAAATCAAAGTTGTTGTTTTTTTTTTGCCATTGTTGGAATACTTGGTGTATATACACCCCAAAGATGTTGATTAGAGCCTATCTGTCTGGGATACCTCTCCTGGGTTTTACAACCGTTACATCAAATCTTGAAGATCACTCCATTGTCAAACTTAGTGTACGTGTATTGGTTTTTGTTGTTTTAATGCACTTACTAATTACTGTTTGTCATTAGTAAATTTGGTGGCATCTCGAAGATTTAACGAAAAAAATATTTCTGAAAAAACAGTTAGGGCGCAGGCGAGCTGGTTTAGGTTTACCATTTTTTAGACCACCTGAGACTGGGTGGAAGAAACACGACGATGTCTCAAAATTGAGACGTCGTCGTGTTTCTTCCACCCAGTCTCAGGTGGTTTAAAAAATGGCAAACAATATTTCTGATCTTATCAAATTGGAACAATCTTCTAAAAGATATTTTAAGAAAAAAAAATCCATAAACAAAACAAAAAAGACAAAATGATGAAACAAATAAAAAAGTAAATGCAAAACTAATAAATGAAAAATAATAAATATCAAATACAAATGTTTATCGAATAAAGGAAAGTGTGAACAAAACGAATTGTCTAGCAGAGCGTGGTTTTGATCCACGGACCTCTGGGTTATGGGCCCAGCACGCTCCCACTGCGCCACTCTGCTTCCTCTTTCGTAATTTATTCCAAAATAAGTAATGTGCCGTGTATTGTGTGCGTGCCGTGTATAGTGTGCGTGTTCGCCACGCGCAGCGAACACGACCTTTGGTCCAGGCAACGGCGCGCGGGCTGGTGCAACCGGAGACGCCGGCGAGGGAGAGCGAGCCCGGTAAAGAACGTGACGCCTGCGCGAAAGAACAGACTGGGCGCGGTCGCAGACCGAAGAAGACGTTGTCAACCGAATGTCATCTATCAGTTAAATAAATATATATCCTGCATTACCCTAAAATTACTGGTACACCACATAATGCATGTCAATTTAATTTATAATTTCGCAAAACAGGATTTTTGCAATGCACCACTCTTGCTGCGCCTGTGCTTCTTACTGTCTTACCGCCCAGCAAATATATTTTCTGAGCGGCATAGACAAACTTTTTTCGTAACGCAAGTTAGTTTTACTAAAACATTGTTATTATTTTTTACTACAAAATTAAGATCGGAAGCAAAAACGATTGCATCTCAATACACCGACCATTTTAAAGGGATACGGAATCGAAACTTGAAATATAGAGAAAACATCAAGAAATGAGTTCAATATGATCAGCTAAGCCTGTAATGAATAATCGCACGGTCGTATTTTGAGCAGATGGCTATACTTTATGCTCTAAATGCCGCGCTTTTGGCGAGCGCTTCAAAATCAGCCATGGAGGAGCGCGATGCATCTCGGGAGATCCGGCAGACGTCTTGACGTCATCATGCCTCGGACGACCAAGCGTACCGTAGTGAGGAGTTTTGCCACTTGGAGGCGTCAACGCGTTACAATCTCGCTTTGTCGAAGTACCCAAGGGCTGTAGATATCGCGGGGCCAGCACGCGCACCAAACCTGAGAACAACCGAAGCACGCGTTTGCACGTCGCGCGAGAGCTGAAACCAAGGTGGCTCACTTCGTTTTGGCTCTTTCCACCAAGACGCCTCGGTATTGCGTTCAGGCCTAGGCAATCTATACCAGTGAGCGGACATACCGCTGCGGCGCTGCTTTCAGAGGCATGTTGTCGTCACGACATTCCATTGAAGCTTCATAACCAACTACCAGGTGGTTTTTGATTATCGTTTAATTCACTTTAAAATATGTTTTCTTGCGTTTTCCAGCGCAATATTTATGTTTCTGTGGTTGTGCTGCTACCTGCGTCGTGTTGAAACAAAGAAATGAGCTCCAGAATTTGGTTTCCGTACCCCTTTAAACATCCAGGGCAGTGACCTAAATTACTTATGGTTATTATTTAACTATAGTTTAGCTCCACTATGTAGAATCAAGTGGTAACTGAATATAGCGGGGGTGGCCAGACAGACATATTGAAGGAGCCATAAAAGGAACCACTTTAAAGGGGCCCTGAAATCGTATTGAAGCGTCTACATTTTTTGCGGTTTCCACGTCTCTTGGAATTCGGGCAAGCCAGCGGGAACGGAGAGAGTAGCTAAATATCAGTGCGTCATATTTTAACCGGACGAGGCGGAAACCTCTACATAACTACATAATTTTTGCCCCGAAAAACAAAATAATTTTAAACACACCTCAGCTTTCGTTTGCAAGTATAAACCTAACCAGAGTGTACCATACTAAATTTTTAGGACTAACACTTGACCATCAGTTAACATGGCACCAACACGTAAAAGACACAACTAATAAGATATATCGAAATATACCAATTCTATATAAACTACAGCACATATTTGCCTTACGAACACTCGAAATGCTTTATCATAGCTTCAATCATACTCACATTTGGCACGGGTTATCCATTTATGGATTGTCATATAAAATAACACTAAAACCCATAGAAATTGCCCAGAACACGGCACTACGAGCAATGCTATTTGTTAATAGGCGCGAAAGTGCTCAATTCGCCTACCGCTTCTCAACATTTTAACAGTTAATCAATGCCTTGATTATCGTGTAGCATTATTAACATTTAAACATTCATCACCAATCAGATAACATGCTCTTCAAATAGTTTTACTCATCAAGATGTCATATATCCTCTGCGTTCACATTCCCAAGCGTCACTGTCTTTGCCATACATACGAACTAATTATGGTGCGCTCACCTTCATTTACATTGCTACTAAAACGTGGAACTCTCTACCACCCTGCCTAACTACATGTCATCATTCTATATCTTTAAACAAGCCATACGTGCACACATACTATCTGCGTGATTCATCAACAATTTCTATGCCCCCCCCCCCCCCCCCCCCCCCCGATTCATTCTTCTCTCCTAGGCACACCTTTCACACAATCACACACACACACAAACACACACTGATATTGCCCTTTTTTCTCGACTTTCTAGCTTTTCATCTCTCTCTTTTCACTTGGTTTAATATTTTGATTATGTACACACCACAATTGTGTTCCTTTTTTTTTTGTTTTTTTTATATATAATGGTGTTGACTTGATCGCTGACTAACCTTTTATTACCAAGGGGTCCCTTCAACAGTTTTCTTTTAAAAACTTTGGGACCCCCGTCTGAATAAGTGTAATTATCTAACATCTTGCGTACAAATAAAAACAGATTTTGACTTGACATCACTTGACCTACGGGGGCGACCCGCGGTGCCGAAAGCGCGCGATATGTGACGTCTTTGGTACTGGACTTGCCACTGGTCAGAGCCGCTGAAAGCTGCTTTTTAGTCGAAATACAAAATATAAGTGGCGCGAACAGTTTCAGTTATTTATAAAAGTAGTTTTTGTTCAGTATTTTAGATCAAAAAGAAAAAAACGTAGTTTATAAAGTATGGACACAAGAACTGACCCGTCGACATACCCGCCACCAGGCGGTGGAAAAAGCGGCGCATAGTAGAAGGGTGTACTGGGATCAGGCACCGACGAACGGCGACTGTAGAAAGGTCCCGGATGTACGCGGCGGCGCTGCGGTTGTATACGGCCTCGAGAATCTGACCGGTTCCGAGCGTTCCGAGGGCCTTCGGCGAGAAGGTTTTTCTCGCGGTTTGGCCGTATGGCGGTGTGGCAGCGCGAAGTGGCTCTCATTCGGAACTGATCTCCACCCCGTGTTTGATGTCATTTGTGGCCAGTGAAGTGTCATGCCGAATTAGTGTTGAATCGCGCAGCACATGCAATGCGAGCCGCCCTGGCTGTCCGCTTCATACAGTCTATCCAGAACATGCTTTAGTGGCGCCCTCTCAAGCCGTCGACATGGAGTGCGGCAGCCGTGAGCGCTCGCTCAGCTCACTACCCCTCATCTAGTTCACGCGTCCACTCAAGCAACCAAGGACGTCATGAAGGAAATTATTTTTTGCTTGTTTATTTAATTTTAATTTGTCTATAACTTTTACAATAAAGCGAAATTCGATAAAAGAAACGTTTTATTAAGT